GGCTGAAAGAGAACTTTTTGTTACTTTTAAATATACAGAAAACTACAGCGTCTACTTAGCCCAGTTTGGTGGCCAGTGCTTTAGCCTTTGTCTTTTCTAGCTTGTCAATGCGAGCCACCGACTCTGGACCCAGGACGTTGCCTCCCAAGTGGCAGTGGATCTCATCATACCTGTCATTGTAATTGGTCCCGATGGCTTCCACCAGCTTAGTCAGAGCTCCTCTGTCTTCCAAGTTAACCTGTGTGAGGGTGACAGGGGTGCAGGTCTTCCTGTGGACCAGATGCTCCACCTGGCCTTCCCCTTGATGATGCAGTGGGGAACTCCCATCTTACAACACAGGGCAGGCAGGAAGACAACCAGCTGAATGGGATCCATATCATGTGCCATCACTACCAGCTGAGCCTTCTTGTTTTCTGCCAAGATGGTGACACATGAACCCCCGCTCGAAGGACAGGTGGCCTCTTAGTGGGGACATCCCCTTTGCTGGCAGCTTTCTTCTCAGCCTGGACCAACAATCTCTGCTTCTTTTCTTGCTTTGTCTCTGGTCTGTACCTGTGGGCCAGCTTTAGCAGCTGAGGAGCCGTTTGGCAGTCTAAGGCCTGGGTGAACTGGTTAATTGCAGGGGGCAATTTTAGATGCTTGTAGAGTAGTCTTTTGCCACTACAGCTGGATGTAGTGGGGCCGTTTGACAAAGCAGGTGAGGTACCTTTTGGACTGGATGTCCTGTCTGATCCCAAAATTCTTGCGCTTTTTCTCAAACGGAATTGACCACCTTCTCAGCCTCCTGCTTCTTCAGAACAGTAGGGGCTGGGGCCACCTTCTTCCCCTTGGCCTTCTTTCCTTTTGGTATCTTGGATGGCTGGAAGAGAGACAGCGCTTTCATTTTGTATATGTTTTTAAAACATGTATCACCAGGGATTATCTAGTGTATGTGGGGAGAGATCACAGCAGTTTGCACATGCTGTTCTTACTGCCTGGAACATTCTTTGTCCTCACTTACCCCTCTTTGCCAGGCCAACTATACTCTACCTTTCACCTGAGTATCACTCTTCAATAAAGCCTTCCCAATCCCCCAAGGCAGGGTCAGGTGGCCTTTCTTTCTGCTATTTTTTTCTGCTTTGTGGCTCCCTGTATTACATATATATATGT